TCTCCCAACTCCGACTCGGTCACTCCATCGCCAGCACCAGTACTTGTCCCTGCAGCCTGGTCGCTCACATCCCTAGTAACCAATGGTCCCGGTCGACTAGCAAAATTGAGCATCTGCTCATCAATTTGCTCCTCCGTATGCCCAGCCCCCTCCTCCAACATCTCCTGCATGAGCTGGATGTCTTCATCCGGATTCTAGTGGGAAGTGTTCCAGCCTTATACTCGAGCATAAGCTCCCCCCGGGCCCTAATAATGGCATCATCAGCAATGGTGAGACACTACTCCTTGAGGGACTCAATCTCTACAGTCTTCTCAGCTAACTCTCTCTTCAGCCTCTCCAACTCACCTTCGGTCGCCTTCAGACGCTGCTGGCTCTCCTACTCGGCCTTCTGGGCTGTCGCCTCCCTCTAGCATAAACTAGTGTTCACCTTGGACACATCATGTATCCTCTTCTCCTGTGCCACTACGGACTTCCACAAATGCAGACTGCTTGTGAATGCCTGCACAATAAAACATTGTCATCAGTACAATCGTGATGAACAAAATAAAACGAAACTCCTACCATACTTGAAAGGCGCGGGATACCCCCCAGTCAGCGGCAGCAACTGCGCCCATCTAGTTCAAACGCGCCTCATATGCCGGGAATAAGAACGAGTCAGCGAGCTTGCTCATAAAAGCCGCGTTAGAATAAGTCGATGCGGTGGCCGGAGTCTTGAAACTAATCATCTCGGTCACCTCATCCAAGACCGCGGTCTAGGATGACCCGACTCCGGCTGTGGGCTGGTGACTCGACGGCATCGCCAACACATCCTCTGCTCTCACATCCTCTTTGGCCGAGGATTCCCTCCTCATCTTCTCCCGACACCGGGCGATGGACTCACTCGCACTAGGGACAGTGAACTTCTTCATCAGTGTCTCTGCAAGCGCAAACTCTCCAACGGTTAGTGGGTTTAGCCTTGACTTACCATAAATGATATGATTGCAGTACCGAGCCAGAAGCACATCCCAAGTCTGCCTCAATGAAGGGAAGGGAATACCTTGCTGAATTGCCTCTACTCCAGCCCAAAGATGGCTAGTCCTGAGATTGGACTTTGCCAATACTACTCGCTAATCCCTCTGCGCCTTCGGAATGCCTAGCACCTTCTGGGTCACCACGTCCAAGCCGTCTCTGTTCTGCCCGACCTGATTGTACTCAAGCTCTGCAAGCAAAAAACACAATAAGATTTAGTAATCAAAATACAAAAAAAAACACAAGGTTCTCACCAGTAGCTCGCCAACTGCTGGGGATATCGCCCTAGCTTCTCTCCCCAAAGACAGCCTGACCTTTCACAAAGAAGTACCGGTCCTTCCAGTTCTTGTCGCTGGACCAAAGATCAGTCACCAGATGAGACCGATCATGCCTAAGGTTTATCAGATACCGACCCTTCGCTTTGTCGTTCTCCTTCAGAAAGTATGAGTACAACAACTAGTGTAGCCCGAACATCACTTGGTTCCGAACACAGAGGTCCTCCGGAGTCATAAGCAACCTCCAACCGTTTGACATAATCTGAGATGGGGCAATCATGAAGTGGTTCAACACCTCCCAGATGAGGCGAGGGATATCCAACCTCAACCCGTTGTGAAACCACTTCTCATAAACACTCACCCAGCCTTTTGCCTCCCAATCAACCCGCTCGTACGACCGTGGTGCCCGAATCTCGACCGAACTCGGAATGTGATACATGGTCCGGATGCGCAACACATCGCTATCCTTAAGCATGGGCGGGTAATCCCTAGTCAAGATCCCACTACCCTATTGGCTCGGCTCTTCCTCAGAGCCGTTACTAGACGAAGATGGACTACCAGCTCCTTCGGAGTCTTCCTCATTTCCCCCATGCTTGCCCGAACCACTCGGACCGGCAGCACTCGTCCCTGGGGTAGCTACACTAATGTCGGTTGGTACACCCATCGGAACACCCCCCTCGGACATCATCATAATGGTGGGGGCTCGTTCGTACTCATTCCCAGCATCTACCACAACCCCGCTTGAGCTATCTAACTTTGAGTCTGACATGTCGACCTGTTCACCCAACCCGACCGACCGACTCAATCTTACAATCAAACTCAAAAACCCTAAGTGTTGGACAATAACTTGCCCCGTGCTACCTACCGAACTAGAATGAACTAACACCTCCAAAATGTTGCTCGCCCCCTAGCACCGGACGACCTGTCACCGTTAACACTAGTCAACCTGCACAACCCGAGTTAAAAATCTGGTCGACCTTCTCAACCGAACGACTTGGACCCTGACCTAGTACCAAGCCCCGAATCACCGATCGACCCCTTCAGATGGCACGACCCTCCCTACTCGGTTGGATGGACTTGATGACCCACTTAGGCCACTTATAACCTGCTTATTCCTACTCGCCACTCAATTCGGTCAGGCAGATCGACCGAGCCAGTATGCTATGTAATCTGGTGTCTCCTTTGTCCTGTCCAAAAAAACCCGAAAAACACCAAAAATTGGGCAACTCGCCGGAAATCCATTGGAAATCCCAAAATTCACGCCTATTCTAAAAATCAGTATTCTAAACGCCTCAAAACCCAGTCGAAACTACTCGAAACTTCAAAAAAATATTCACCCTATCTTCCAAAAACTCAGCAAACAAGTAGAATAAACCAAAAAATCAGCCTAAAGAGAGAGTATTTACCATAAAACAACTTCGAAAAACTGCAGGAAAACCTTCGCCACTCTAAGAAACTAGAACAAAGAGAAGAAAAGAAGACAAAAGATTTTAGTTTTGTAAAAGAATGGGGCCAGAACGCGAAATGGGAAGACGAATAGTTTGCTTCCCCGTTTTATTAAGAAAAATCTGACAGACGAAGACACGTGGCGGCTTGCGATTGGCCAATAGTCAGAGCAACCCTTCATTTTCCCGCCTCCAAAGCGAAGGGTTGATCGCCACTGTACACGTGGCATGCATCTACGACACCACTGTACACGTGGCATGCATCTACGACACCTAGGAAACCGCAGCGCCGTACAAAAGCCACGTTCAACCGCCCTGCCCTCCTGACCGATTTAGCACGAGACTGCCGGAATGGACCCAACAGGCTCCCATGTTTCATAGGTCTAGGAGATTCTCTTGATCGGTCGACTGGCTAGGAGCAGTTTAGCCCATGTTCACCCTTGAGACGATCAAGCCAAGAGGCCTCGCCCATTCGGTCTTCCGTAGCGGACGAATGGTTAGCCATAGGTCAAAAGTTTGTGCATTTTATTTAGCCCTATGGCATCCAGTAAAGAGAAATGTGGTATCACAAGCGCACGTCATACGTTCTAGTAACCCGACCGAGGCAATTCCTTCCACTCGATCACCTGGGTAGCCCGACCGAACGAACATTTAGTTTAACGTTGTCTTTAATTTACTCGACCTGGCATACCGAGCAGAAACCCTTGTCATAAGAGGCTATCTCATTTCTCCAGTCGGTCGGACACACCGAACGAGCACGTGAGCTCCAGAAGTCTCATCATCTTATTCCCCTCGGCCCTTCACACCGATCGGACAAACCCTCTTGGGATGATCGCATACTCCAGATCGACAGTAGATACCAAACGATCCCTGACCACGAATCACCTGAATCAAACTGATTGGTTGCGCTGACAGTCGGTCTTCTGGGGAAGGGAAACCAAAAACGCCTCGATCGCTTTCTACTCTCTGACTTAAGAAAACCTTAACTCAGAAAGTGGGGGGCAAACTGTTAGGGCCAAAAATTGTCCTTGGCCTAAATAGGAAAATGTGACTGACAATGAGGAAGACATCATGCCCAATCCCGATGCGGCCCAATCCGGATTAGGCCCATTTGATATGAGATGTAGTCGGCCCAAACCATCCGGGCACAAGCCTCCTAATCCCAGTTCACTTCCTGGACCTATGAGCGAGTTCAGAGCCCACGAGTGCCCACATATCACTTTCCTATTCAAACACTGGTAAGGTAGCTCACTACCGCCCTAACTCCTCTAGGGTCCATGTCAGAGTCACACTAGGATTCCCTTTCACACCAGGATAAGGGCATGAAAGGGCATATCCCTGGAGGAAATGGATTGCTACGAGAACTCCCAATCCCACCAGGATTGGGAGACTAGACAGTCACTATATAAACAGAGGCCAGCCGTCTCACAAGGGAGATTACACTACACCTACAGACCCTGAAGTTCTAGCTTGAGAACTTCACATCACAATTGTAGTCACAGTCCCCGACTACACTTCTGGTAACCTCTCTACTCCCAAACCCTCACTAAATCAGCCTTTCAGCCTTGCTGACTTGAACGTCGGAGTGCCTATGGCAAACACCACCCCGGTGTTTTCCGTCGCTTCACGTTTGTTTTTCTACGTGTGCAGGTACAACAGATCTTTAGTGGCTTCAACCTCACAGGATCAGACCCTCTTTCCGTACAGGTAGATTTTTACGTCTACAGAAGGCAATTTAGTAATCTATATAACATATCCACCCATTTATCCTCCCAACCAAACATATTATTCACAAATTTATTCGAACTAACCAAATATGTTTACCAAACATTCCCAATTTTCAAGATGATTTTTCTTTCTGTTAATATAATATCCCCTTATAATAAAACATTATATGATCCAAACACCTCTTATGTGTTTATTTTAACACCAAAAAGTTAATGTCAAGGGGATTTTTGTTATTTTTATAACTGTAAGGGGGATTTTTGTTTTATAACTATAGAGTGATTTTTGTTATTTTTATAACTATAGGGTATTTTTGTTCAACTATACCTAAGGGGGATTATTGTTATTAACTCTTTTTAAAAAAAAAAATGATTCGGCAATTAGATTTGGGTAACGGCAATGGGTTTACACTACAGGGAGTATTGTGTGACTTTCCTCAAACCTCAGGATGAAAATGTTATTAACGAATCAGAAACCATTTACACAAGAAAATTGTTTTCGTACAGTAAAATGCCGCCGTTTATATTTGTTTCCTTTTCCTATCCGAAAATTCTATCTAGTTAAAACTTAAAACCCATCTTCCAAACTGCAGAAGCTAAAAAGAAATGGCCGCTCACTTTCTCTGCAATCTTCCTCCAACCATCAAAATTCATCAATCAAGTTCTACAACTAAACGCAACCATCCACAAAAAACATGGCTAGCAGGTGCAAGAATTATCCTAAAAAACAGTACTCTCTCTCTTCAATCCTCATATCTCAAACCCTACCAATCCAAGCGCCGTACCATCGCTGCGACCGTCTTGTCTAGCCTCCCCACAGCGTAATTACTACCTTCCCATCTCATTTTTGCTTTCTAATTTGGCTGGACTAAATTGTAGTATAAGGTTTTCTTGATTTTTGGTTATTTACAGGACACCATATGGCATTGGTTCAGCTCCCAAGTGAGTTTTCGTTGAATGTTTGGTTTAATGTAGTTTAATTTGCGTTTAGTGGGGATTCACAATTTGGATTTTGTTTTCCTTGAAATTATAGATGGTCATGTAGAGCAATAAAGTCATTTGCTATGGCTGAGTTGGAAGCCAGGAAGCTCAAGTATCCAAATACTGGAACTGAAGCTCTTCTCATGGGGATCTTGATTGAGGGTTTGTATCATTCCCAATTCTCTAGCGTCACTGTATTTTTTAATTGTTAGAGCAAATAATTTCTTAAAACTTTATGGGTTAGTTGTATTTATGATTTCTCTGCCTTTAGTAAGTGAACATAAAATGATGCTCCCAGATATTGTTGTTAAACTAGATTCAATCAGAGTTATGTCTATGCACAAACTAGTATGATTTCAAGCAACTTTTGAGTAAGAAATACGAGTTTCCCTGGGTTCTGGTTTGTCATCATTGTTAAAAATCTGTGAATGGGGTAAGTCGAAGAGGGATTTGTTAACCAATAATGTGTACTAGTTCTGCTATTTGAACTATGTGGTTGAAGAAGGAAGATGTGCTTATGCAGACCTGTTGGCTAATTTATTAAAATAGAATGCATTTTGCTTTTTCGTGATGAAATAAATGCATTTGAGGTAATTGATGAAGTAAAGAAAGAAATTAAAGAGAATATTAGTTTTGTGTGCATGTGATGGGCTTTGTCTGCAGTTTTCTCTACTTCCAAATTATTTTGTTTGAAGGATTTATACTTAAAAATGGTGAAGTATCTTTGACTTTGTATAATCCAAGGAGGGCCAACCGCAGAAATGTCTATTCCCATATTCTGTTAAAGCTATGTCACGACTCATTATTTTCAATCTTGAAAATGCCCATGTTGAGAATAGACTAGGAGAAATTGCTGCTTGAGAATAGTGAAGGGGAAGGTGAACTGATGCAGAATATCTGATTGCATCTAACTTGAATTTTTCATACGACATATTGCTGAGTTACTTACAATGTATTGTTTCGGAAGAGGTATTTTATACTGAATCATGCAATTATTAGAAATCATATGAAATGTTTTGATTTGGTATGTAGGTACTAGTGAGGCAGCAAAGTTTCTACGGGCCAATGGAGTAACACTCTTCAAGGTGCGTGAAGAGACTGTTAAGTTACTTGGAAAGGGTGACATGTACTTTTTCAGTCCGGAGCATCCTCCTTTGACTGAAGCTGCTCAAAGGGCCATTGATAAGGCTATTGATCAAAAACTAAAATCTGGTTAGTTTTGACTAATTTTCTGATCTATAGATGTATTGGTTGTTGTTGTAATTTTTTTATGCTCCAAAAATTCATCTTTCATAATGATTTTAGTGATGAATAGATCCATGAATATGCAAACAAATTAATGAAAAGGTTCCATTTGGTGGCTGACATGATCTCAACATATTGTTATAGCCGATTAGATGGTGTGAAATCAAATATTTGATTTTGTGCTTGAATATGTTCTATAATTCAAAATTTCTGATTTGATGTCTATGCTTGTGAAAATGCATTTTGTCAAAAGTAAAAACACATTGGAAATGTTGGAGTTAGCGGGTTATTTTTTCTATCTTATGCCTTCAACTTCCTATGCTTTGTTAAATTCTGGTTTACTCATTTTGGAGCACAGGTCACTGTCACTTTTGAGAATTATGTTGAGAACAGTCAGCATGGAATCTCATTATGTTAGTACAAGCCTTTTCCTCTGGATGATTTCAGAATACAAAATCTATATTGATGTTTTGGAAAGCTTATGTTGTTATATATCCAAAAATTCTAAGCATTTGTTATTTGGATGTGTTATCTGAAAAATGCTTTAGTGGATATGAATTGAAGGTTACTTATTGTGAGGATTACTAGTTTGCAACTGCACATCTGTGGTTTTTATATTGATTTTATGTTTATAAAATTTTCCTGGATTGCGTTAGTCTTAGTTCTGTTACTAGAGAGACTTTCCTGATTACGTAGATGGAGACATAGTTAATACCAGTTACAATAAATACGATTCATCGTAGAAAAATGTAAAGGTTATTTATTGATACTTCTATAATAGAATAGTTTTATTTAATTTTACATAATATTTTAATGTAAAATCCGTCATTTACTTTGATTAAATGCAAAATGTATGAACTGTCACCAGAAAATAATAACTGTTCAAGCTTTCTTGAATGGACACTATTCCTATTCCCATTATTCTTATTCTTTTAATAATAATAATTATTATTATTTTTCTGTCTCTTATGAGACAGTTGCCATGCATTCATCATAATGGCTCTTACTTCAAATACAATTTGATTCACATAGTTTGCTGAGAACTCCAAATGCAGCTAATTGTTTCTCTTCTTGATTAGTTACTGCATAGTACATATTGAATGTATATCTCTTTGATAAATTGTTTTGTAATGTTGTGTATCCTACAGTATTGACAGTGACACAGTTTACACAATCATATCTTTCTCTGTTTTGGGGTTCACATTGTAGAATTTTACCTGTTGCACTTCCAATTGATTAATCAATCTGCCAATTGCAGGTGATAGCGGGGAAATTACAACATGTAATTTGCTTCTTGGCATTTGGTCAGAAGTGGATTCAGCTGGTCACAAGATAATGGCTGCCCTTGGCTTCAATGATGACAAAGCCAAAGAACTGGAGTCCTTGATTTCTAGACCTGGGTTTGTAGCTGACTGATACCTGCCTTCACATTCAATTTGTCCATTGGTGCAATTCTTTTTGATAAGAAGTGGATCAGTGATGCAATTACGAGCTTTTGATTGAGATTACTCATACTTTCATGGTCACAACCTTGAAGCCTTTACCGGACTTAACAATAGTTGGCATTAGGCCTTTTGACATTGCATTCTCCTGTGCTAGTTGTTCTCCATTATCGTGCATTTAGTTAAAATGCCCAAGGCATCAGTGCTTCAAAGGAAAGTGTTTTGTAATACATTTTAAGCGCATCTTCTTCAAGTCATTTCACTGGCAGCGTCTTTGCCATGTTCAGTATCATCTATAATGTGGTATGCTAGTCACTTGCTCATTGGCAATTCAATGTCTAGGATCATTAATGGCACAGCTATAATGGCCTTTACTGGAAGAAGTTAAATTTACAGTAGTTGCTTTAGATTATGATAAAAAGGACTGGAGATTTTACATGCTACCGGATGTTAGCATGTGCCAAGCTGGATATGTATTTGTGGCAAATTAGTTAAAGTTCATTCTTTCGCAAGGATAGATATACATTGCGTCAGTGATAGAGGAGTCGTCTGTACTGTAATATAAAATAAAAAGTATTTCCAGGCTTCCTCTAGGCTGAATTATTAACTGCAGATTTGTTATTTTCATCTTCGTTAATAACCTGCTGTAACCTGCAGGCAAGAAATTGTGCTTTGCAAGCTTCTTCGTCCCATTTTATCCTTGCAACAAACATTAACAATAGAGTTAAGCACGCAACCATTCCAATTAAAAATCCAATCAACAGTCCACCGAGCCCCAGTGCTGCTTTGAAAGCGAAAACTACGCCCAGTGGCAAGGCTATGAGGTAAAATCCACCAATATTGGCATACATAGCCAACCATGGCCTAGCCGTTCCACGGACAATTCCTCCACAAACTGCCAATGGGAAATTTACCACTTCCACTATAGCCATAAGCAACATCATCTTCTTCACACCCTTTATGATTCCTTTATCATGAGTAAACAAAAACCCCCAAAAACCTCTGGCTCCTATCATAACCAAAGCACCTATGCTACCTGAAATGATGCTCACTCCTAGAGACACATATGCTGACTGGTAAGCCACCCGAGATTGGTTAGCACCAAGCTCATTGGACACTCGGATGGATGCACATGTGACTAATGATAACATGACAGAGTACAGCAAATAGTCGAAGTTTAGCACAATGGCTAACACTCCTACTGCTTGTTTCGCATTTGATAGGTGTCCTGTCAACAAAACCAAGATCTCATAGCACCACCATTCAAGGCAGGTGGTTAAGCAACAAGGTCCAGAGAGTTTGAGAAATCTGAGCCAGTCGCACACGCCCTGCTCCCACCATCCTCCTTCTTTCCACTTCCCCTCCTTGTTGTAACGCTCCATCATCAACAAATATATTACAAGTAAAATCACAACTAGAGCATCACTTATCCATATTGCCATAGAAACTCCCTCAAGACCCTTAGTTTTTGCAAGCAAGATGTTGACAGGAATATGAAAGGCGAGTGCTAGTGCTGAGCTTAACAGTATAGGAATTGTTATGTTTTGTGAGCTGAAATAGGCTTTGAGAGGACAGAGAAGTGAAGTGAATACTAAGTCAGGAAGGAGATAAAAAAGATAGTGCTTAGCGACAATTGAAATGTCTTTTTGCTGGCCAAAATGGATGAGAATTTTGTCAACGTTAAGCCACAGGAAAGAAATAGGCAGGGTTGCTGTTAGTAACAAGAAAATAGCCATGAGAAGGGTCTTGTGGAGAAGCCTAAAATTTTTAGCCCCAAAAGCTTGGCCACATATTGGTTCCATGGCAGAACAGAGACCATTCAAGACAGAGAAGCCAGTTACATTAGCAAAGGTGAAGCCAAGTGTGCCACCAGCTAACTGCAACTCTCCAAGACGTCCAAGAAAGGCAGTTGTGATGGCTATCTTGGCAAACCATGTTAAATTCATACCCACCAGTGGAAGAGCCATAGCTTTTTGTGTTTTTAGCTCTAAAAGAATTATTTTCATGAGTGAACTGGAAGGTGGATGAATGGTTTCGTCTTGGAATGTTGATGTTGAGATTGAAGACATTGTTTTGGTGTGAAGCTGCGAGAATTTTGAGGGGTGTTTATTTTAGATTAAGGGTGGAACGCATGGATTTGGTGAGGAAGTTTGTTTGTAAAGATAGTGGCCTTTTTGTTACAGCCAATTAAGGAGACGGTGGGAGTTGCTGGTGGGATTTATACTTTTATAGTGCTTGGTGAGGATGAATTTCCTGAGGACCTATATTTCATTACTGTGTTACCATAAATATCATATTTAATTACCACAATGTAATTAATTTCATTTACTGTATTTGTTTTTAACTACATACATATAATGCCTATGTATATGTTCACATTAATTTTACTAAACTTACAGTAACTATTCTAAATAATATGATATAATACAATTTAAATGGGTGTTATATGTACAGAATAATATTGCAGTTTTCTTTTATCGACATATCATTCATCTATATTAATTAAACATTTATTGAGTTGATTTTTTGTACAAATTCATTCATGCAATTTATGTCATATTAGTTTGTATGCAAGAATTTGTACATCTAGTAGTGTGGTCAGTTTGGATAATGTTAATCACTTAACTATGGTCACCGGTGGCATAGGCTACTGATCTAATTTTTTTTCTTTTTATGTTTTTTCATTAAATTTAAAAGAGGGGATGACATGAATTTTTCGATTGAGGGGGGGAAGTGTTGTTTTTGAATACCTAGGGGACAACAAAAAAATTGGTCAACTTGAAAATCAATATTTGAGAACCGACTTTTTATGATGAGATACTTGAATAATAAAAATTGAAAGCCGGGAGCAATAGTAGTGTGGGTTACCTTGTTTTATAAGGAATCTATAAAGACTAGAAAGATCTAACTTTTCCTTTTCATTTCCTAAAGCGCTATTGATAATTTATTTGATATTCTTTATCTTTTCAGTTTTGTCAGTTTTCATATAATTTCACAGGAGGTTTGATTAAATCTTATAGGAATTAGATTTTGAAATAGTTTAACGAAGAAAATCCTGCTGGAACATATGCCCATGTCAAATAGAGGGTAAAAATGGGATGATATTTAGGACCCAAATGCTTTGTAAAGAATCCTCTTTTCAAAAGCCGGATTTATGGGGAGAAATAAAACATGGATTATATTCTGTTTTACTTACTATATTAAAATCGTAGTGATATATTACTGTGTAAAAAGAAAAGCAAACACCCCACTAATCATAATTATAGTCTTAGTATATTTGACACTTTGCAAACAATAAACATTGAACGTGAGCAATTATAAGCCAACAAGTAACTTCATTTTCACTTTCGATTATGAATTGTATTATCTTTAAAATGTCATTGGATCTCAGGATAATTGAATAATCCAATGAAGATACAAAGCTAGAGACATTTGTACACGAAATTGTTTAAAAAAACAAACAAATGTGATGGTGGATCTATCATTATTGAATCTTTTTCTTCTTTATATATATTATGACCACTTGGCTTTCCACTTGTTCCCCATTTAAAAAGCAACCACATCTGCCTCAGCTCTAGAGATTATTGTCCATTTTTGGATTGAGCATACGAAAGAATTTCCATTATTATTTTGATAAGGTTGAAATAGACAGAAATACATATAATAATAATAATAATCTATACAGAAGTATGAAATGAGAAGAGTATTTATGGAGCTTGAGTGCGCATGTATTGCGAATCAAAAGAGTTGCTGGTAGCAAACGAATTTTGAGTGTGTGGGGAATGATTCATGCAATTGATAAGAATAAGTAAAAGACATCTTTGCTAGGAACGAGGAATTATATATATATATATATATATATACTTATACTCAATCGAATCGAATGGAATATATTATCAAATATACTTATACGCATGTAAATATCCTTTGGTGTTTGATGTGATAGACACGTGTATAGAATCAAAGAATTAATAAATTAAAAGGGGTGTGTCGATAACACTGGATTCACCTGCATTAATGTATGATGCTTGTAAAACCCAGATGAAGATGAATGTGCGAAGTTATTGCAGCCAAATAATGAAATTGCTGCCACTGGTTTCTGATGTCCTTTTAACGAGTGAGTCAAAATCATATATCATAGAGGATGTACAGGGAAGGGAAAATATTCAAGTTGTACTGCCCCTCCAAGAACAAGAGTATCACAAGCATCTGGATCAACTATATAATTATAAGTATAATACTACACATATAATATTTTTCATACAATATGATGTAAAAAAAATATGATTGACTGATTTTAAATTAAAAATAAACTTTTATCTAATCATCTTTTACCATATCAAAAGTTGTATGAGAAATATTGTATAGAAATGTTATATGTAGTATTATTCTAATTATAAATAAGAAAATACTAACTATTCATGAGGATATGTAAACACTCATATAACTGGGACACCAAATACATCGTCTTCCGATTTGCTGCTGCACTAATCCATTGCAAGAAGAACATATATTCACATCAACTCCAACAAAAGAAAATAAATATAAATCACAATCTTTCTATACCACAAGCTAATGCTAATGTACATACTCCACTCCACCATTATCAATAATACTATTCTTATTCCATGCACCAACTCGCTTCAACTTCTTTATCGTTGTCACTACTCTAACAGCCACAGCCACAGCCACAGCCACAGCCATTACCATCTACCTCTCCTCCTCGGAATTTTGAATGGAATCCATCATCATTTGCATCCAAAGATGTCGCGGATCAGCTGGGGGAAGTGCTGAAGCTGATTTATGCATGGTTGGCTGCTATAAGGGAAGCTAAGAATTGGATTGTAATAGTGATCGATACATCATACATTGACTTGTAAGAATAACATATTAATGAAGATGAAGTTATTTGATTTTTTCAATAAGAATTGATTCATATAAGTTATTTGTTAATTGAATGAATTAGGGTAAAATCGCGTGTAATTCCACGTTCTTTATACTGTTTGTGGTTCAGTGGTTCCTGTTATTTTGGTTTTCATATCTCTCTATTCATTCATGCGAATATACAATTTTGTTTTTTCCAGGTAAGAAGCTTTTCCCATTAGTAATTGGCCATGGTTATGACAAGTGATGTCACGATGAATGTCTGTTTCTCATCAAAGGAGCTGACCAAGGTGGGGATGGGCTGTCAGAATTCAAATCAATGATGACTGCATCAACTAATTGAGTATCTAATTAAAATTAGAATTTATGTAACAAACGCTAGCCATTCATTTCTTTGAAAACAATGTTGATGTTTTACCCAAAGAGCTATTGATGATATTATAATAAAGTTGTAAAGGAAAATGAGGGGGGAATTTTCTATATTTGATTAGTTGCAGTCATGATTTCGTAAATAAGATACTTATATTGGGATGGGAGTTGTACAATATTGCTTTGTCTAGTCAATAAAATTAAGATTGGTGCTTGGTGACAATGTGTACTCATAAACTTCCAAATAACGTCAAGCGAATATTCAATGAGAGACTTTTTAGAATATCCAACACCACACTAGAGAAGGATATGACGTGAAATGGAAGGTGGATGAATGGTTTCGTCTTGGAATGTTGATGTTGAGATTGAAGACATGTTTTGGTGTGAAGCTGGAGAATTTTGAGGGGTGTTATTTTAGATTAAGGGTGGAACGCATGGATTTGGTGAGGAAGTTGTTTGAAAGTAGTGGCCTTTTTGTTACAGCCATTAAGGAGACGGTGGGAGTTGCTGGTGGGATTTATATTTTATAGTGCTTGTGAGAGGAATTCCTGAGGACCTATATTTCATTACGTGTGTACCATAAATATCATATTTAATTACCACAATGTAATTAATTTCATTTACTGTATTTGTTTTTAACACATACATATAATGCCTATGTATAGTTCACATTAATTTTACTAAACTTACAGTAATATTCAAATAATATGATATAATACATTAAATGGGTGTTATATGTAAGAATATAGCATTTTCTTTACGACATATTTCATTCTCTATATTAATTAAAATTTATTGAGTTGATTTTTGTACAAATTCATTCATGCAATTTATGTCATATTAGTTGTATGCAAGAATTTGTACATCTAGTGTGTGGTCAGTTTGGATAATGTTAATCACTTAACTATGGTCACCGGTGGCATAGGCTACTGATCTAATTTTTTTTTTTTTTTTTAGTTTTTCATTAAATTAAAAGAGGGGATGAATGAATTTTTCGATGAGGGGGGGAGTGTTGTTTTTGAATACCTAGGGGACAAAAAAATATGGTCAACTTGAAATCAATATTTGAGAAACCGACTTTTTATGATGAGATACTTAATAATAAAATTGAAAGGGGAGCAATAGTGTGTGGGTACTGTTTTATAAGGAATCTATAAGACTAGAAAGATCTAACTTTCCTTTTCATTTCCTAAAGCGCTATGATAATTTATTTGATATCTTTATCTTTTCAGTTTTGTCAGTTTTCATATAATTTCACAGGAGGTTTGATTAAATCTTATAGGAATTAGATTTTGAATAGTTTAACAAGAAAATCTGCTGGATTTTCTGTCTCTTATGAGACAGTTGCCATGCATTCATCATAATGGCTCTTACTTCAAATACAATTTGATTCACATAGTTTGCTGAGAACTCCAAATGCAGCTAATTGTTTCTCTTCTTGATTAGTTATTGCATAGTACATATTGAATGTATATCTCTTTGATAAATTGTTTTGTAATGTTGTGTATCCTACAGTATTGACAGTGACACAGTTTACACAATCATATCTTTCTCTGTTTTGGGGTTCACGTTATAGAATTTTACCTGTTGCACTTCCAATTGATTAATCAATCTGCCAATTGCAGGTGATAGCGGGGAAATTACAGCATGTAATTTGCTTCTTGGCATTTGGTCAGAAGTGGATTCAGCTGGTCACAAGATAATGGCTGCCCTTGGCTTCAATGATGACAAAGCCAAAGAACTGGAGTCCTTGATTTCTAGACCTGGGTTTGTAGCTGACTGATACCTGCCTTCACATTCAATTTGTCCATTGGTGCAATTCTTTTTGATAAGAATTGGATCAGTGATGCAATTACGAGCTTTTGATTGAGATTACTCGTACTTTCATGGTCACATCCTTGAAGCCTTTACTGGACTTAACAATA